ATTGATTAGGGGGATTTTTTTTCTTTGTTTGACGCTATTGAATAGGATTTCGGGTTTCTTCCTTGCACAAAACTCTCCTTGCTAGTAGACTGGTTAACGCTGTGAAGCCCAAAGTGAAAGGTTCTGGGTTCGATCCCGTGGTGGTTGCCTTTAATGCATATCCTTCATGGACTCAGGGCGGGACATAAAAGGATCAGGGGCAAATGCATTTTGCAAGCTCTTACTCCCTCTGTTTCTAGATAAATCAACTTCTAGAGTTATTTAAGTTAAAACTTTTTAAGGTTAATCAAATTTAGAGAAAAACAATAATGTTTATAGCATCAAAATTAGTATTATTAAATACACCGTGAAATATGGTGTATATTATGCTTATTTGGTGTTCTAATTATTGATGCTCTTCACATAAATTTAGTCAAAATTAGATAGAATTGACTTAAGGCAACTTTAGAAGTTGACTTATGGAGGGAGTAGCTACTAAGCTTTGTTAAGATGCTAGTGAGAATTCCTCTGGTCCCAAAAAAGAATGCAATTCTAGAATAGTGCCATGTTTTAATATATTTAGTTTGATTAATTATAGATAAAAAATATAAATATTTATAATATCAAATAAATACCATTAGATTAATTATCAAAATGTATTTTCATAATAAATTGATTTGGAGTCAATAAATGTGAATACTATTTATTAGAAATTTGTTCAAATATGAAGCACTTTAACTAACACGCAACCCATAGTTGCATCCTTTTTAGGACATATGTAGTAGTTGTTAGTAGGGTGTCCAACAATATCTATTATCTAAGGCCCTTTGAATGGATTCAAATAAGGCCTAAGAACATCTCCAAAGGTTCTCCAATAATATCCTTCATCCCCACGAACCTGTCATATTGGGGAGATGAGACTATTTCATTCTCCAACAGTTTTCCAATAGCTCTTCTTTCTTTTGGTGTCTACCAAAAAACCCCATGTACCCTAAAATAAGGGAACGTATCTAGTGCAAACCAACCTCTACCCTAAAATAAAGAGAGGTGGGGGAGATTTTGTATCTTCCTAATTACACTTTGCAAAATAGGCACGGGTTTGAGGTTGGTTTGCACTTGGCTGCCTAAAAATAAAGAGGGGGTGGGGGTGGGGGGAGTTTTATCTTCCCAATAGGATTGGGCCTACTCTTACTACTGCTTATCCTTCCTATACTGCCTACGTAAACCTAGTTGGAAATCTCCTGCCATTGGCCAGAGATGCTGAGCTCACGCGCCCCAAGCTTATGCTGCCCGCGCCCGTTGGTAGCTTCCCGTCCAAGCTCCAGCGGGTTGCGAACCAAAGCTCGTGCTCTACCGTGCCCTGGCTCGTATGCGGTCGGTGCTTGGGACGAAGACGAGTCAAATTTCATTGAGGCTAGGGTCGACGCGACGGGGTTAGGGACAGAGATGATGAGGTGAGGGCTGGGTTGAGTGGTGCTGCGCGGAGTCCACGGAGAGGTGGATGATGGTGCTGGGAGGTTGGTCGCGCTGCAGGTGGATAGTGATGCAAGGTGGTAGTGTGTGGAGACAGTGGCAGTGAGGTGAGTAGGAGTGCCCAGAGACAGTGCAGTGAGGCGGGGAGTGCGGGACGATGTTATGGACCGGGAGAAGAGGAGAGAGAGAGAGATTTTTTTAAAAAAAAAGTCTAATATGGCACGTATGTTTTCCATGTATTGGAGGAAATTATTGTTGTTCTGTTTTAACATCTTTATCAATAATTAAAAAACAATATTAGGTCACTTCATTATCACCTTATCAAGAGAGTTGTATTGGCGTATTGATTATTGAATAGCCTGTGAAATCCTCTAAGCCGAGCGACGAGAGCCAGGCAGCCAGGCCCAACGATCTCGTGGGCTGCTAGGACGCGAGGAGCAACGGACAGAAAGGCAAAGGGAAATGATTATTGTTTGCTTTAGCCAAACTGTTTCGTTTCGTGAGATGCATGCTTTTGAGCTGTGATCATGCGGCCGCCCACCAATGGAGCTTTTCTTGGTCCGGAATTCAGCCCGTGGATCTGGATCCCTTGGCCAGCGGATCCTTTGAACGAATGCAAACGAACTCGATCGCGGGATTCATGCGACGCTTGTCGTAGCAGATACGAATCCGTGTGTGGGGTTTGTATGAAGTCCAGCGCGCTCAAAGCCCTCTGATGATGCGTAACTTGCATATATAAGGAGAAGGAGAAGGAGAAAGAAAAAACTCACAACTTTGTCGTCATCATGCATTATCCATTGCCAATTGCCATGTTGAGACTGGGAGTTCCTACCACTAAAATAATCGATGCTGACATGTACTACTATCTCCGGTCCTGGTCAAAGTGATGCCGACTCCCAAAGTTATGCAGCTAGGAGTATATCAAATGGACAAATAATAGCATATCCGAATGCAAAGTGAGGACGGAGGAGCTGAAGCGCCAAACTAGTCGTGAGGCGTGAGGCGAGAGCCCCATCAGACCAAACGAGAAGAAGGATTTGGTTGTTTAATTAAGTGGGCAGATGGATCGAGTTCGGGGGCGGGAGACCGAGACAGCGCCCGCCTTTCGCGGGTATCTTCTGACAGACAGCTACTTACATCATCTATCTACTACTTGCTGTATATCTATCTATCTATCGTTACGACGAATGAACAGAGCAACACGAACACAGCAGCACCTTTCTTTCAGAAAGAGGAGTTGGACCGGTTGAATAAAGGGAAAATGATGTGCTTTTGGGTCGGGGACGGAGAATATAATCGGTACTGTGTCCATCCGTGGTCTTCTCAGTGGAGTGCTATGCCTACGCTGCTCTCCATGCGTCGTTTGTTGGCCACTCTGCCTGCTACCTGCTGCTGCCCTTTCCGATTCCGAGCGAGCTTTTGGCTACGCGCCCTTTTTCTTTTCCGTCAGCACATTACTAATTTGTAGGAGGAGCAGCATTCGCATTGTAGTTGTAGTTGTAGGGGAATCCACATCAGAATTTGTGCAGAAAAGAAGGTAGCTCCCCTATCATATCTAGTCGTACTCCGACGCACCAAAAGGAAATTGGGGTGGCTACTGCTAGTTCAATTCCCTACACCTCGCTTGTCAAGCAAAACGAGCAGTGCAGTGGCATGTGATTCCTTCAACTGCACTAGTTGTTCTACTGCTACTCACTTCGTAGTGAGCCGTGTTGGCATAGCATAGACCCTGAGGTTGCTGTCGCGGTAGCATTTGTTCGGCCACTGTTGTTGAACAGCTCGACAACTGATGTGAACGAATGAAGCAAGCAGGCAGCTAGCCCGTGTTGGTTTGGCGGTGGTGCGCGCCACGTTTCCGTTGTTGGCCTTGCAATCCTCCGGTCCTCCTCCTCCTTTTCGGTGCTGTTGCTGCACGCCTTCTTGCCCTCGCTGGAGGACTGGAGGAGGTAGTGGTTGTGTACTAGCGTCTAGTAGTGCCTGCTGGTGTGCTGCGTGCGTGCGACTGCGAGTCGTCCTGCTTAGCTTAGCTTAACTCCCCTGTCTGCCTGTCTCCTCCTCCTCCTGCTGCTGCTCCGTTTAGCCCTTTCTCAGCACTACTTAAACACAGTACTTTTTAGTGAAGGAACAATGTTTTTTTCTTCCAACAAATCAGCACCAGCAGCAGTATCAGCCAAATTCCAGCTAGGCAAACAGGAACATTGACTAGTGTATGCAGGCCCAGTACAATGATATGGTACGATGGATCGAACCCATCATCGATCTGTCTGTCTGTGTGGGCATGCGTTCGGGCCTTTGTTGGTTGGATAAGCATGCCCTCGTGCCTGCCCTCCCCTTCTTTTCTCCCCCATGTATTCCCCCTCTCGGGTCTGTGCATTGACTACGGAGAGACGGACGGACGGCTTCTCTATCATCTTTGGGAGGGAGGCACATGCGTGCGAGCGAGAGCAGGCAGGCAGGCAGGCAGTTCTAGAATTCGATCCACCAGTGGCCGCCACATGAGCTGCTGATCCAGTCCAGGTGACAGCCACCATCGTAGCTGGCACCACATGCACACGAGGATCGGAGTGACTCATGGACTGGACGGACCAGGACGATCAGAATTCAGATCAGCCACGGTCCATCCACTTGTTTTTGTTTAACGCTCTTGCTTTCCGCTAGGCAACCGGCTTAACTGGGCTTGGCCCATCTGTGACTTTCCTCATGGGCCTTCTGGAATAGCCCGGCTTCAACTCAAAATCCGGCCCAACTAACCGAAAGCACTACGTACTACGCTCGATCGACCTGCGTACCACCACCAGGGTGGCAAGGTCCAGGGACGACAGCAACACCAATCCAGTAAACACAAGCAAATGTTCCACAAGCTTAAACGGTTCAGCAAATTCAGAAGACGACGGTAACATACTTACGGCACGACCAGACGATGTAAGGAACTTGGCACACACATGCTGGTGACACAGTCATGGTTCTCTTCTTTCTTCTCCTGGTCTACGTGCATCAGTTGCGACCCGACCTGCAGAATTCCAGAATCACATCCATCCACCTGCACTGCAGCACAGCACAGTGCACACCACCAGAACAGCAGAAACCACCTAAACAAGCCAACATCCGGAACTTAGTAAACGGTTCAACAGCAATTTAGAAGACGGTGGTATACAGCAGTCACGACACGAAGAGACGTTGTAAAGCAACGTCGACACACACAGACACGACACGCAAGTACTCAGTTCGACCAGACCTGACGACAACGACGCAGAAACAACGGTTCTCAGACCTTCAAATGATAGGTGCAAATTAATGCCCTGTTCGTTGACTGATAAGCCATGGCTGAAAGTACTGTTGACTGATTGGTTGTGAGAGAAAAATACTGTTCATTGGCTGAAAAAGTACGGTTTATAAGCCAAGCGAACAAGGCGTAAGCAAACAAAGTTTATTTATTTTGGGTTTTTTCGATCGCTCAAGTCCAGAGAAGGCTGCAAGCTGATGAGCAGATCGATGGCATGTAGCGGCGCAGCTTGAGACGCCCTTGAGGCCTTGATGGCGGCTCCGGTCTAGGTGTTGCTGCTGTGGAGCCTGTACATGATCTCTGACACAGCCCTCTGGTACACTTTCTCTGCCGAACGACGATTCTCACCACCTATTCCAGTCACCTGTTATGTAGTACAAGGATACGAATGTTACTGAGCTGCCATAAAGTTTTACCTCACGCAGAGAAGTTTGACGTATGAGAAAAAAAATGAATATATATTACCACTTTAACATGTAAGAGCAGATTTATTTTCTTGTTGATTAGGCTTTCGTCAGGCAACGCCTTGCTATATATAAGCTTCTACAAGTTAGATATTGGTGCTTGGATTCTAATATGTATATATACCGTGCGCAATGTCTACAATGGCACTTGTTTGTGATTGGGTTCGGCCTTCTGGGCATATCCGTGCTACTGTGCATTCATGTTACTGCTAGAGTGAAAAAGTATCAAGTGCAAAGTACAAACTCATCTTTGTGGAAATATGAATTGTGAGATGGTACATAATAATTCAAGTAGCAAGTAGCCTTAACTACTACTGAGTGACCATTCAAATATATACTGCTACACTAATCAAACCAGTAATGGAAAAACAAACCTCTTGAGGCAAAATAATAGACTCATGTATTAACTGGACAAGTTTGTAACATTTTTGTGCAACAAAAAGAGTTTAATCATAAAGCAAGTCACATATAGTTATTCCTATAAAGCACAAATCCACAGGTGCACTCAAGGTATGTGAAGGGTATGAAAATTTGGGTCATATTTATTTCTAACTATAGTGATAGCTTTAGTACTTTGTTATGTCCATTCCTAATAAATCATGTTTTCCATATACATATACACGCCACCAAAAAATGGACCTCTAACATACTTTTTTTTTTCTAATAGTTACCGAATCGTGTAACCACAGCCTTTACAAGTCGCTTGCAAACCAATATCTCCAGTTAAAAGGATGAGACTGAATAAGGAAAAGTAACTATATTTGTCGATTAGCTTAGCTAGATTTAGTATGATCGGTATCTAGATCACCTTTTTTTTACCCATTAAAGCGCGACAAAATAAGGCTCTAACGTAGTACTACTTCCTTGTGGTTGCTAGAACCATGTAGCGTCAACTTACGTAAATCATGTCGGTGTTCGGACCACCACCTTCTTCCCATCAGACAGAGTACGACAAAAATAAAGCTCTAACGTATTATTTCTTTACGGTTACCGAATCAATGAAACCTCAAACTTATATAAATTCTGTCGGTTTTTTGGACGACTTTTTTCTATTAAATAAAGTGTGATTAAAGAAAATCCCTAACATACCCTGATTCAACGGTATTTTGACCTTTTTTCTTTGTCGTCGGCCTCTAGACTCGCCCGCGCGAACCCTAATTCAACAGTACAAAGCCTTTTGCAAATTCAAATATGGCGGAGAAATAGGTGCGTTCCTTTCATTTCTAGGTCAGATCAAATCCCCTCGTCGCGACGAGGGGATTCTCCTCGATCTAAGAATGCCAACCAATCCCCATCGTCATGCTTACCTGATCTACGCAACACATATAAGCTGCTACAACGACCCTACCCCTACGTCTGGCCAACAAAAGCCCCAAGCTATGCTATATATGAAACCAGGAGGACACTGGATGGATGGAGCAACAATGCTACTTACATGGGCATAGATCATGAACAGGGCGCGAACCCTGTCGGACGAGATCTGCGCGGTGATCACGTCGATCCCGTGGTTGTCCAGCACGGACATCACCATGGTCAGGGTGTTAGCACGCCGTGGCGCCCACACGCTGATGTTCGCGTTGTCGTTGGCCACGGTCAGCACCATGTTTGGCCCCGTCCACGTCTCGTATCTCATCGGCGACGCTGGCACGGCTGGAGCAGCAGGCGGCACAGGCACACCGCCCCAGCCACGCGGGGCGTCCGAGGAGCACAGGGCCGCCATGCCCTGCGCGGTCTGTGGCATCGTCATCAAAGAGAAAGAGGAGGAGGAGGCCTCACCCCTAGCGGCGGCATGCCGCGCGAGCGCCTGCTTCCCCAGCATGGCCGCCTTCTCCTCAAGGGCCCTGATGTAGTGGATCGCCTCTCCCACCAAGGTCACCTTGTCAGTCTGTCAGAAGAGATAAACAAGAGTAGATCCATCAGATCACGCACAGTACAATATCAGACTAGACTAGACTAGCGCTGCCCTGCTTATGCGTTTTCCAACTTCCAAGCCCTAGTTCGCCAACGTATACGGCGAAAAAATTCGAACGATTGGTCGGGTCATGTGAGAGCTTTAATATTACCTTCTGAGGGACGTGGGGCATCAGGTCTTGAAGTGCCCTGAATAGATCCTTCATCCGCTTGCGCCTCTCTCGCTCCAAGGCGATGTTGACGTTGGGCTTGCCGTCGTCAGCAGCGGCGACGCTCTTACCCTTGTCGGCGTCGGCGTCGGCATCGGCAGCAGCTACCTCCACCTCCGCTTCGGAGCGCGGCTTATCTTTGCTGATGCCGTCCGCGGAGTCGCGCTCGTCCATGTTGAGGTCAGGGATAAGGTTCTTACCCGTGCTGGCGCTGGCGTCCACGGTCTTCTTGTTGCCCGCCGAGGAACCACCGTTGCCGTATGGACCGGCGCTCATGAGGGAGAAGGCGACAGTGGTTGGTGGTGCGCTGTGCCCGTCGTCGGAGGCAGCGGCGTCGACTTGTGGCCGTGGGGTCCGTTCTGAGCCATGGCAGGCAGGCAGGCGAGGGCGAGGCAGGCTGGAGGATTTTGGACGAGGGGATCGGAGGCGTACTGGGATTTTGGATGGCCGTCGTCTTGAGCCTTTATTTGTAAGCACGACAAAATTACCTCATTTTGTCTTTTTCTGAAACTTTCATCTCTTCCACTGGGTCACAGATCGATGCGTGCATACAATGATGCAAACAGAAGAATTACAGTGTAAAGGACGTGTACCGTCGCCGGGTGGATTAGCTGTCTAAAGGTGCTAGAATTACTGTGTGACCTGCACTCCAAATGCTCACTCAGTGCTAGATCATTCAGCAATGAGTAATGCCTCACAATATTAATATAGATTTCATTTCAAACAAGGCCGCACAATATTTACAGCTCTCTACTTGGTGGAGTTATAGGCTAAACGATAGATCGATACAGGTGCTTAGTGCTCTGGCCAAGCGGTGACACATTGTATTCTTGAGCCATTTCTGTGAGCCTCTCTCTATTCACTCTCTGTTCAGAGTGTATCGACTCAGATTCCTGAAGTTCCTACCGCTCTCCCTTGATTTCGACTGACCAGTAAAACATTCGCGTTGGCGTGTGAGCATTCTTATCAGTTCCTTTACTTCACCATGTATCTATCTGCAGTGTTTTTTAATATTAAACATCGCATCTATCCTACTTTAGTAACTGACTGCGGCCAAAAATCTGTACATAAATCCAAGCGAAACCACGTCCTCAAAGCGTTCTTACTTGTGCCACTGCAAGCATACAGATTCTGTTTTCACTTTACAGCCAGAGCAATTAATAAGCAAGGTTTCACGCAGGGCGTCCGACTGTTCGGTTGGCTGGTTCATATCGTTGCTAGTTTATGAAGAAGTACTGCTGGCTGATTTGTGTGAGAGAAAAATACTGTTCTGCATAAAAATTTACGATCGTTTACGACAAACCACAGCCAAACGAACAGGCTGTGTATCTCCTCGTCAGCTTTGTTTTGCCTATCCCACCAAACACCTGGCAGGTCTCACGCCGCGCGGAAAGCAAAGCAAGGTGACGCCGTTCTCCTCATGCGTGCAGGGCTCGATAGACCTAATACAGGATCACTAGCCATAGATCTAGCATGTGTACATGTATTTGGAGTAAACAGCGAGTTCTAGACATGTACTAGTACAAGATAAGAAATAGAGTGAGAGAGAGAGGGGTGAAGGGAGCGTACAAACCATCGGCCGTCTTAGAGGAAGACGGGCTCGCCATCGCGGTGCTTGGTGAAGACCCGGTGGTGGTGCTGTGTCGAAGGGTGACGGTGCAGTGGCGGTGTTGGCCGGTGGCGGTGCTTCCCGTCGCTGGCAGCGCCCCCTCTGTAATCGATTAGGGTTTACGAGTGTAGGTGGGGTGCTAGGCGGCTCAGGCGAACCTCGTGCTTGGCACCCCGGCCCCCACCTTCTATTTATGACGCTGTACGACGGGGGCCCACCAACCATATTAGGGTTAGGCGCCCCCGATCAGGGCGCGGATCCAAGGACCCAATTGGTCGTTGGACCAATTGGTGGAGATCAACTAACATTCTCCTCCCTGATCCCACTTATAACTTAAACTTAACTTACTTACTTTCTCTTGTTCCCATTCCATCACAAATCAGTGCATAGAGCGTGCCTCATCGTCACGGTCTCTTGCCATTAGATTAAACAACTACAATGCACCTCTCTGTTTTGAAACAGATTCTTAACTAGGCCCTTATTGTCCAGGAATCATAGGCTTTCCCTTAACCCCATGTCGGCTAAGTGTTCTCTGAACACGCTGGGTGGTAAGCCTTTTGTAAGTGGATCCGCGAGCATCTTTTCTGTTCTTATATGCTCAAGACTAATTATATGATCCCGGACTTTATCTTTCACAACATAATACTTTATGTCAATGTGTTTGACAGCACCACTTGACTTATTGTTGTGAGCATAACATACTGTTAGATTATTATCGCAATATAACTTGAGTGGTTTATGTATGTCGTCTACCACTTTCACCCTGGGCATGAATTTCTTTAGCCAATTCATCTGCCCTGTGGCCTCATAACATGCTATATACTCGGCATACATTGTGGACGATGTAGTGATAGTTTGCTTTGAGCTTTTCCACGATATAGCTTATCCTGCAAGAGTGAATATGTATCCTGACGTGGACTTTCTTTCATCTCCCGCATAATCAGAATATGTGTACCCCTCTATGTGCAGGGAATCAGATCTTCTGTATGTTAGCATGAAACCCTTCGTACCTTGCAGGTAACGTAAAACTTTCTTTACTAATTTCTAGTGTTCTATTTCTGGATTACTCTGATATCTGCCAAGCAACCCGGTAACATATGTTAAGTTAGGGCGAGTACACACTTGAGCATACTGTAAACTTTCGACAGCTGAACTATATGGAACCGCTTTGATTTGATCGATCTCATATTGGTTCCTGGGACATTAAAATTCCCCATATCTATCGCCCTTGACTATGGGAGCAGGTGATGACTTACAATTTTGCATACTGTATTTCTTTAGAACTTTTTCTAAGTATGCCTTTTATGATAATCCTAAAACCACTTTTCTCTATCTTGGTGAATCTCTATTCCTAGGACGAACAAAGCTTCACCGAGATCCTTCATATCAAACTTTGAGGACAAGAACTTCTTTGTTTCTAGTAGTAGATTAACATCACTTCTAGCGAGCAAGATGTCATCCACATACAAGACTAGGAAAATGTATTTTCCATTCTTGAACTTTGCATAAACGCAATTGTCCTCTACATTTTCTTGGAACCCAAACTTTCTTATTGTACTATCAAATTTCAAATACCATTGTCTTAAAGCTTGCTTTAATCCATAAATAGATTTTTTTAGGCGGCATCCCATGCGTTCTTTTCCTTCCACAACAAAACCTTTCGGTTGTGCCATGTAAACGTTTTCCTCCAAATCCACGTTTAGGAACGCCGTCTTTACATCCATCTGATGTAATTCTAAGTCGTAATATGCTACAAGCGCCATTATGATTTTAAAAGAATCCTTACATGAGACTGGAGAAAATGTCTCATTGTAATCTATGTCTTCTCTTTGCATGAAACGTTTCGCCACAAGTCGCACTTTAAACCTTTCTATATTCCCTTTGGAGTCATGTTTAGTTTTGTAGACCCATTTACAGCTTACTGTCTTCGCTCCTTTAGAAATTGTTTCTAAGTTCCAAACTCCGTTGGTTTTCATTGATTTCATTTCATCTTCCATGGCTTCAAGCCACTTGGATGAGTGAGCGCTTCTCATGACTTCTTCAAATGAGGTGGGATCACCCTCTATTTGAAATTCCTCACATTCATAAACTTCATAATCATCAGGAATGGCTGATCTCTTGACTCTTTGAGACCTTCTAGGAGCCTCGTTAGATGACGCTTGTTCTACATGAGGCTATTGTTGCTCTCCCTCATGTGTGACAACGGGTTCTTGGGGATCCTGAAGGACAGGTTCCTCATGCTCATTCATTGTTGCCACAGGAGAACTAACAATGGGTGCAGTTACTACAGTGTCTTACACTATTGGTACAGCAACAACAGGTAGCGTGAAGAATGGTTCCTGAACCATAGGAGTGGGCACGTATACCCACTTCTCTTCAAAACTAATTTCACGTGCTACCATGCTCCCCCTGATCATATCATCCTCTAAGAAGACAGCATGTCTTGTTTCTACAAACTTCGTTTGTCTATCAGGACAATAGAAGCGATAACCTTTTGACTTTTCTGGATAGCCAATGAAATGGCAGCTGACTGTCTTGGAGTCCAGCTTCCCTATGTTTGGGTTAAATACTTTTGCCTCAGTTGGACAACCCCATACATGTAAATAGTTTAGTGAGGGTTCCTTTCCTATCTATAACTCATACGGTGTCTTGGGCACCGACTTACTTGGCACTCGATTAAGAATATGAATGGCGGTTTTTAACGCCTCCATCCATAAACTTATCGGTAAGGTAGAGTAACTTATCATGCTTCTCACCATATCCATTAAGGTACGGTTACGTCTTTCAGCTACTCCATTCTGCTGAGGCTCGACTCGTGTAGAATATTAGGCTACTATGGCATTTTCCTGTAAGTACCTTGCAAAAGGTCCAGGAACTTGGCCATATGGGGTGTGTCGACCGTAGTACTCTCCCCCACGGTCGGACCTTACTACCTTAATCTTTAAGTTGTGCTAATTTTCTACTTCAACCTTGAATATTTTAAATTTATCCAATGCTTCCGATCTTTCCTTAATTGGATAAATATAGTCAAAACATGAGTAGTCATCTGTGAATGTTATAAATGAATCCTAACCATCCACACTCTTCACCGAAAAAGGGCCACAGATGTCTGTGTGAACTATTTCTAAAATTCCTGCGCTTTGTTTGGCATCTTTCTTTATTTTCTTAACATACTTTCATTTTGTGCAATCTATGCATTGTTCTAAATCTGAAAATTCTAAAAGCGGAAGAATTGATTTCTTAATCAATCGCTCTATTCTCCTCGAAATATGGCCTAAACGATAGTGCTATAATTTCAAAGATACATCATGCACTCTCTTCCGCTTATTTGTTGCATTCATAGATGAGGAATCATTCTCATTCTCAGTACTTACATCATTCACATTCTCAGAAAGTGATAATAAATAAAGCTTGTCTTGTCGGAAGGCAAGACCAACACATTTATTATTATAAACATTCTGACATTTGCCATTACCAAAATGGCAATCATATCCATCGTTATCTAAACGTGAAACACTTATTAAGTTTCTTCGCAAAGAGGGTACAAATAGAACATCTAAAAGCTTAAGTAGAAAACCATCAACTAATTCTAGAGAAAGATCTCCAATGGCTTCAACTTGAGCTTCAACTTTATTTGCTACTTTAATTCTTCTTTCTCCTCTTTACA